AGTGTATCCAGTAGAACTTTGTATTGCCTACCTGGAATGGGTGACAATAGTTGAATAAACTTTTGGCAAAACTGTCAAACCACAACAGTGGGTCTTCATTTAAAGGCTTCTCTAGATCTACTGCAAGACAGACTGCTACAGAAGATCCTCCCTGCTTACACATTTACAACATGTACAATAATTCAATCACTATGAGTTACTACAACAGTTCTTTCCCTTTGGGATCAATAAAGTATTTTCTAATTGAATTCTAATTTAATTTTTTGGATGTGGTTTCTGCTGAAGTTGGGGAATGAAAACCAAAAACAGATTTTTTCCATATCTGAGTTCTGCCTGAGATTTTTTTCTTTCCAGTAATCAAATACTAGCAGTTTCAAGTTACCCATTGGTTTAATAAGTGGAGGATGCCCGTTTGGGATTTAAGCGCTGTGCAGAGCCCCAAATTCTGATTTATAGAAGCTTCTGCTTCATCCTTGGGTTATTTCTTCTCCTATACAGCCAAGCAGATCATTATTCACTCATATGAAGCCATTTTTTTCAGTGTCCTGTCTGGCAATGTTGCAATAAGAATAATTATCTTGATTTTAACAAAGATCCCAGCAGATTTTGCTTTTACAAGTGGAGCAGTACGGCTATTGCCATAGTGTTCCACTTTATTTATGCATATATATATAGCTTTAATTTAGTTCATGCATGGAGAATTACAGATTATATGGACACTGTAATGTAAGTAGAACAGGAAAGGAAAAACAGGAAAAAGGAGAAAAGAGGAAAGAGGAGATAAAAGGGAGACAAAATGTCTTGATATGAAGCACATTTCAGTAAAATTCAGGCACATTTCAGATGTTTAAAACCAGAGTTAAACTCTTCTATTTTTCTTCATCTTAGATTCATTATTTCTTTTATTTAATACGTGGATGAAGTTTAAAACCTTCCAAAGGATTTTCAAAATCTTTCACTGCAGCTGCAGAGATTATTGGAGCTAAACATTGTAGATCTCTCTGAGAGCTTTTCATATTTGCAGATATTAATCACCATGTTCCCAGATTTCTTCTTTTCCCAAATAATGTGTAATCTAAAACCTTCAGCTTAATGTGCTTTAAAAGCTCTTCCACTTGAGTGTTTTTTAGTAGAGAGTGAGCTCCTACCTGCTCAGAATGCCTCTGTTAAATGTGTCCCCACCCTTGGATCTGTTACCTTGGTTATCTATGTTTTATTAGATTAGGGATGATGGTGGCATCTTTTACCGCCTCTGGATGGATAAATGGGCTGTATCTTATCTTATCAGGCCTATCAGGGCTGTCGCAGTTCTTCCTTCAAGGCTGAACAGGGATGGTAGGTCGCTGTGCTGGCTGACAGTAGACAAGGTGGTAAATTTAATAATGAGTTTAAAAGGTTGCATAAAAAAATGCACATTTAGGACAAATTAATATATTTAAAAATGTTTTATTTGTCACAAACATTGTAAAGACTCGTTAAGGACGCAATAACGGTTACATGGTGGTTTTAAATAAGTTGTTGTATTTACTAAAGGTATAACGTTCAGAAAGATGACGAGTTCTTGGAGGAAAACAGGCCTGGCTCATGCTTCCATGTGTTTGAAGACTGGAGGTGTGAAGAAACCATCCACCATGTCCAACTTCTGCTCTGACTGACTTTAGTTCATAGTGAATTTTATCTGACCCATACTATGTTAAAGTCATACATGCAGACCTAAATACCATCCAGCTATTAACTTGAGGTGAAGTGGAATATATTGAAGGTTGTCCTCATTATTGGATTTTGATGCTTTCAGCTGACCATCAAACATTAAAACAGATTTATTTTTACCTGAGGGAAACACTGTGGGTCATTTGATGAAGACTGAAGTTTCCACCCACCTGGATGAAAAGCTGTTTTTTTTTTTTTAATGATTATAGATGGCTATCATTAAAAAAAACTATGACCTCGACCATGAAGAGCAGTGAAATGTTTTGCCAGTGAAATTCCAGAAGCTTGTTAATGACTATACAGGTGCTGGTCATAAAATTAGAATATCATGAAAAAGTAGATTGATTTCAGTAATTCCATTTAAAAAGTGAAACTTGTATATTATATTCATACATTACATACAAACTCATATATTTCAGATGTTTATTTTGTTTAATTTTGATGATTACAAATGACAACAAATGAAAATCTCAAATTCATCATATCAGAAAATTAGAATATTGTGAAAAGGTTCAAAATTGATGGCCCCTGGTGCCACACTCTAATCAGCTAATTAACTCAAACCACCTGCAAAAGCCTTTAAATGGTCTTTCAGTCTAGTTCTATAGGCTACACAATCATGGGGAAGACTGCTGACTTGACAGTTGTCCAAAAGACGACCATCGACACCTTGCACAAGGAGGGCAAGACACAAAAGGTCATCGCTAAAGAGGCTGGCTGTTCACAGAGCTCAGTGTCCAAGCACATTAATAGAGAGGCGAAGGGAAGGAAAAGATGTGGTCGAAAAAAGTGTACAAGCAAGAGAGATAACCGCACCCTGGAGAGGATTGTGAAACAAAACCCCTTCAAAAATGTGGGGGAGATTCACAAAGAGTGGACTGCAGCTGGAGTGAGTGCTTCAAGAACCACCACACACAGACGTATGAAAGACATGGGTTTCTGCTGTCGCATTCCTTGTGTCAAGCCACTCTTGAACCACAGACAGCGTCAGAAGCGTCTTGCCTGGGCTAAAGAGAAACAGGACTGGACTGCTGGTGAGTGGTCCAAAGTCATGTTCTCTGATGAAAGTAAATTTTGCATTTCCTTTGGAAATCAAGGTCCCAGAGTCTGGAGGAAAAGAAGAGAGGCACTTCATCCACGTTGCTTGAAGTCCAGTGTAAAGTTTCCACAGTCAGTGATGGTTTGGGGTGCCATGTCATCTGCTGGTGTTGGTCCATTGTGTTTTCTGAGGTCCAGGGTCAACGCAGCCACATACCAGGAAGTTTTAGAGCACTTCATGCTTCCTGCAGCTGACCAACTTTTTGGAGATGCAGATTTCATTTTCCAACAGGACTTGGCACCTGCACACAGTGCCAAAGCTACCAGTACCTGGTTGAAGGACCATGGTATCCCTGTTCTTAATTGGCCAGCAAACTCTCCTGACCTTAACCCCATAGAAAATCTATGGGGTATTGTGAAGAAGAAGATGCAATACACCAGACCCAACAATTCAGAAGAGCTAAAAGCCACTATTAGAGCAACCTGGGCTATCATAACACCTGAGCAGTGCCACAGACTGATCGACTCCATGCCACGCCGCATTGCTGCAGTAATACAGGCCAAAGGAGGCCCAACTAAATACTGAGTGCTGTACATGCTCATACTTTTCATGTTCATACTTTTCAGTTGGCCAACATTTCTATAAATCCTTTGTTTTTATTGGTCTTCAGTAATATTCTAATATTCTGATATGATGAATTTGAGATTTTCATTGTTGTCATTTGTAATCATCAAAATTAAACAAAATAAACATCTGAAATATATGAGTTTGTATGTAATGTATGAATATAATATACAAGTTTCACTTTTTAAATGGAATTACTGAAATCAATCTACTTTTTCATGAAATTCTAATTTTATGACCAGCACCTGTATAAAGTGTGGAGTCAAGGTGCAACACACTAACAATTAACAAAATAAGAGCGGTGAAACCAGCACTACAGCAAGAAGGTCTTAGGTGTGGAAAAACCTGGATAAAGTCTTTCCTGCATGAAATTTCCTTTTGCATTTTTGTGTTTTTTCCGGTTAATCCAATTTCCTCCCACAGTGCAAATTGCCCTCTGGTTATAGGAGTTCATGTGTATGGTTGTATGTTTATTTTGTCCAGAGTTTACCCTGCCACTGAATGATGGATGATGAATGGGCTGATGGATGGATGGATGGACAGATGATGGATGGATGGATGGATGAATTAATAATTGATGGAAAGATGGATGGATGCATGGTTGGATGGATAGATGGATGGATGGATGGATGGATAGATGAATGGATAAAGGGTGGATGGATGGATGGATGGATGGATGGATGGATGGATGGATGGATGGATGGATGGACTGATGGATAATGGATGGACGGATGAATGCATGGATGGATGATGGATGCATTGATGATTGATGGGCTTATGAAGGCATAGATGGACAGATGATGGATGGATGGATGGATGAATTAATAATTGATGGACGGATGGATGGATGCATGATTGGATGGATGGATGCATGATTGGATGGATGGATGAATGGATAATGGATGGATGGACGGATAGATGCATGGTTGGATGGATGGATAGATGGATGGATGGATGGATAGATGGATGAACGGATGGATGGACAGGCTGATGGTTGTCTGGCTTGGTGGCTGAACTGATAAATGATAGATCATTTATTTATTAGCTATGATTTATCAGTTGTATCTATTTTGCAGCAAACTCCTGATATTTGGCATCTGATCTCTGAAACGGATCACATGTGAACATTTCATTCGGACCACGAAGCAAATCACACAGAAATATGTTTGTCTTCCTTGATGGGCACTAAAATCATTGCAGAAAGGAGCAGATTCATTATTTATCTACAGGACTATTCAGTACAACCGTTGTTGGTTTTCTTTTCTTTTTTAAATCTTGCATTTAGCAATCCCAGCTTCAGTTCCCAGAGGAAACTGGAATTTTGTTGCTTTAGTTTCACTCTTACTTTTCCATGAAATGCATGAAAAAAAAATTAGAAAGGAGTTCAGAAAGTTTAGTCTGATCTCAGTGGAGAAATAAAAGCATGCTTGCTTCCTTTTAATGAATATGAGAAACAAAATGTCCCTTTATGACCCGTTTCCAGATCTGCATCAGAGCTTTGAAGCCCAAACTGCAGACCTTTGTGTTTTAACCTTTGAAAGAAACATTAAACCCATGCTATTCTAATGGGCCTTATTATAAACCTGCAAATTGCTAATTTGCTGCTTTTACTGTCTCCTGTGTGCAGGTGTATGTCATCAATGTCACCTACTCTGACAACACGTCTCACATCATCTACCGAAGATACAGCAAATTCTTCGACCTGCAGGTAATCTTCCTTTTTTCCCTGCTTCTGATGGGTTTCTCATTGTTGTTTTTGTGGCTGCTTCGCCGCCTGTTTAAATCAGTGTTTGCATCTGGTCCGGACAGGGAGCCTGTTGTATTTTTCATTTCCTCTGCCTTGTTGAGATGCAGCAAACTCTTCTCTCCTCTTCTCCACTCATCCTTGGTTTGGCCTCAAAACGTCAGGCAGCCGTCAGGCCTTTTTTTTCTAACGGCACAGGCGTAGAAAAAGTCAGTTTAATGTAGCGTGTTTTATGGCTGGGCTGCTGTTAAATCCTGCAGCTCATGCTGCTGATCGGTGGGGTCTTTATTTAGAATCGTTCTCGGCTTGCGTAGCTCGTTTTAAGCATCAGGGCTGTTTGTGTTGGAGCGAAACAGTGAAAGCCTCTGCTGTGTCTCTCCGAATGACTGCAGGGGAGCCTCGGGTCACTGCAAGCTGATACCGTACGCATGTTGGTCCTGAGGTCCACGGGTCATGAGTAAATATAAAAAGGTTGTAGTGAGAAAGTTGCAGGGGGGCATGTCTCAATGGTAGCAGTGTACTGCTTCTGCAGGAAATTATGTTTCAGTCAGCAAGAGGGAAAGTCCTTTCTGAAAGGTCTCTTTGATGGAGTGGAGTCCTCCTCCCCCCCCGCCTCCGCAGCTGATCATTCCCACTGTGGATCATAAGACGGAGGTGGAATAACAAACAAGCAGGAGCCGTTAGGTTGACTGGATGTGTGTCTTCCTCCTTCAGAGAGGAGAGTAATGAACCCTAATGGTTCACGGACGAGCGCGTCAAAGATCGCTCTCAGTCGGCCTGCGGGAAGATTGATTCGGTTTGGTTTCACAGATTGACGAGGGCAAAGTCCTGCCAACTCTGTCTGGGATTTACACAGTTGACAAATACAGAAGCTCTCCTCTGACCACGGATTCAGAACGTCATGTCATTTATGCATTGATTTTTAGATTTACATCAATAATAGTGTAAAAAAAAATGAAATAAAGAATAAACAAAATAGAGAAAATGTCCCAAAAAAAAAATCATCTTTTGATGTGTTCAGCAGACTGTTGTTCCATGCCATCGACTGTTTTCTTTTTCTCTTTTAACCCTCGTTGCTTGTCCAGGTTGTTGTGCTGACAGGCTTTTCATGCCCTGCAAGCACTGCTGCAAAATATGAACAATTCTAAGCACAAAAGTGAGAGGATGTTCACCAGCATCTAACATCATTTCCTCCCTCTGTAGAAATCTTGTAGAGATGTCCAAAAAAATACTTTTGTATTTATTGGGGTAGAAGTTTTCATTGAGAATAATTGCTTCGATGCCATAGCTTCATAGCCTCGTGATCTCGCAAGCTTTCAAGATTTCACTCGCTAATCAGTCTGGAGACTCTCCGTTGAAGAAAATTTGGAGCCGTTCACCAAACGAACGTCCAATCAGCGTTGGCTTTGAGGCGGGTTGAGGTGTGACGCAACAAAAAGCGTGACAGTTCAGTCTAAAGAACATGGCGGCTTCAGCCGATGAAACTAGCGTTAGCGTGGCTATCGAGCAAGTTTTATCGGAATTACAGAGTATTTCTTCACTGAAAGAAGAGCAAAACACTGCTCTGGAGGCTTTTCTCAGAGGAAAAGATGTTTTTGCTCTTCTCCCGACTGGTTTCGGCAAGAGTTTGATCTATCAATTGGCTCCTCTTCGTTGTCGCTCTGTTACGTCATATGCTTCGTTGATCTGATTGGTTTATTTGGCCCGTCTATCACCAACATAGGCCAATCAGCTAACCAGTATTTTCGCCCCTTCCCAAAATTACTTCTATGGAAGGTTTCCAGATGGATATGCGGAGCAAATCCATCTGGCGGAGTCAGGTTAATAGTTTCATGGCATCCCTGAAAATTCCTTTAAGATCAACTTCACTTTGAGAATTTTCTAGTTTACAGTGCAAAAACGATCTAAAAAGTGTATTTACCCTTAATTTAATAATAATAATAATAATAATAATAATAATAATAATAATAATAATAATAATACATTTTATTTGTATTGCACTTTACATTTAAAAAAAAATCTCAAAGTGCTAATTTAAGCAGGTAAATAAGATGATTTGCAAATGGAACGAGTGTTTTTACTCTTAAAATAAGATAATTAGATAATATGCACTTGTAAAGAGACAATGCAATTGCTTTTTTCTTAGTTTAAATGTAAATGGTCTTGTTCCATTGGCAAAGTGTCTCACTAACCTACATAATTCAAGAAAAAATGCATTAAGAAAAAATTACTTATTGAGATTTAAATTTTTTGGAGTGTATATTTTAACTTTGTTAAAAAATAAGGTAATAGATAAAAGGTAAAACAGTGGTGATTAACTTTTAGTCAGTCATTGATTACTTTCTGTTCTCATGGATTGGAGTTTCCAAACCTTTCATCCCCTGACCCTAAAACTTTATGTAAATATACAATTATTGTATCATGTTCCATACTTTCATTCTTAAAATGACATTTGATTAATCATTTTAAATGTGTGTTTTTATTATTTATTGGTACATTTTATTAATATTTGAGTCACTATAAAAGGTCTACACAATTCATGGAATATTTACTTATTTATTTGTTGGGGCATTCACATATAGAAATGTAAAGATATATTTTTTGCCCTCCATATACACCTAAAACTGAGATCTCTACATAAAAGTGAAGTTTAAATGTGGATTAAATGTAAATGAGGTTTATAAAGTGCAACTTTTGACAGATTGTAGAGGCTAATGATGTATCTTTGGTCATTTAAATTTTGCAAATTATTTAATTTCTTTTTACACTCTACATACCATGCTGGGCTATATAAAGATAAGGAATGATTAACCTTAGTTTATAAATCAAATTGAGGTCCATGAATATTATTTATTTGGAGAGAATATTTGGATGTTATTTAAAAAGAGACAGTAGATTTTTTTTGCAATGTGTCATTGACTACAGAATTCCCTCTTGAGCATGTATGCAGTGATAGTAGACAGGAAAACTCTCTTATGAGAGTACCAAATTTACAGCAGAACCAGGCCAAGTGTGAACGGCCTTCTGCTGAGGCCAACTGGGGTTCAAGGAGACAGAAAAGAAACAGTTAGCACCAAGACAGTTTTCATGCCAAACAAAGAAAAAGAGACCATACAGTTAGTCTCAGTAAAAGCTGAACCCCATAGTTATTTCTTGGAGACAGGCGGGGCTGAGCAACTTTATCATATATAATCACAGTCCAGGAAACGCACAACCAGGCAGACGAGCTCCGAGCCTGCTCCCATGTCAGAGGATGAAATAAAGCCAACCAGTTAGTCACAGTCAGAGAAACAGGACTACACTGAAAAACACACCGATCTCCAACGTCGATAAACAAAGATGTTGCTGGCAGCTACTGATGAGAAAAAGAAGAAAGAACACGTGGTTAGAAGTTGAACTAACAAAAACTGCAGAATTGTAGACAAGAGAAAGCATCAAGCAGACCCAAAAAAGTGGTCTCTATGTCCTCCAGCAGTCTAAGCCTTTAGGAGCTTAAGTATAGAGATAGCTCAGAATAACCTGAGCCACTCTAACTATAAGCCTAATAAAAAAGAAAGTATTCAGCCTAGTCTTAAAAGGTTAAAACCATTTTTTTCTTTAAACTACTAGGATAGGAGGATTTTACACAATTAAAGGTTGAATCAAATTACTTTGATTCCCAGTCTATTGACCTTAGCTACATGTCTTTCACCCCTGATCTCTGAAACCCATTACCTGGCCTTCCAAAAAATACAATAACAACTAGAGCATATAAACTACTAGAAAGTAGAAAAAGTGTGCTCATTATAACTAGCTATAATGCATGGTGCACCCTCATGAAAATGAAATAATCTAGAATGAAAAATAGGATTGTGATGTAACTATCTAGGCCTTGTTAGTGTATTTAATCCTGTTTGGTGTTATTGTTTTGGGATCCACCTGCAGCCTCCACTGTCCAAGCATTTATCTGGTGCAGAAACCCAACTGGCCTAGAAAAGGACAGCGCAGATGCAGATCTAACTGGCGCTTCCTGCTGGGGCTTCCTCGTCTTCTCATTATTAAGCAGTCTGTCTTCCTGGAAGCATGAGGTCCTGGAACGAGGCCGGCATTCCTTTTCTGTGCCAGCAGCACTGGAGGATTCTTGAACCTGACCGGATCAAGTGGAATAACTGTAGAAAGCAAAATGCTTCTGGCTCTCTTCTGTTGGAGGAAGAAGGGAGCTCTGAGCGGCTCTCTATGACAGGAGTAACTTACGGGAAAATAGATGTGATATATTAAGGGAAATGTTTTAACCAAATCCACCTTTTAAACTCTAAATATATTTTATTGAGTCTTCAGAGACTCTAATAATTGCAGAGAAAGTGAATGTAGTCTCTCCAGGTGCAGCATAGATATCTTAATATAATGATGGGTTTGTGTTTTTCAAGCTGTTAAGTTTTCTATTTTCTGTTACGTGTTTTGAAAATACTGTTGCAGATTTAAATGATTAAAACGTGAAAAGGGAGAAGTTTATTAAGTTTATACGAACAGTTTCAATCTCGCTCTTCTTATGTACTTCGTACACATGTATTCGTCTCCGGCTTCATCCGGGACCGGGTCGTGGGGCCAGCACTCTTAGCAGTGATTCCCAGACTTCGCTCTCAGTCGACCTCTCCAGCTCTGCGGGGGTGGGGGGGTCTCCAGAGAGGTCTCCTCCTGGTGGGACGTGCCTGGACACCCCCTGAGGGAGGCGTCCAGGGCTCTTCTTATGTGCTACATATGTCTAATGTCTATTCAGATTAAATCCTACATCAGAGATCCAAAGATCTTTTTGGTCTTTTTTGTTTCCTAACAGCAACTTTTAGCTTATTTATCTTTAGTGCTTAATGCAGTGCTCTGGGTCACATGACTCCTTAATTGATGGATCTCAAGTTACATGGTCAAATTTTGGAGAACAGTCTGCATAGACCAGTATCCTTCCACAGGGTTTATACAGGAATGAGTAC